AAAGCTGGGCCGTGTGGGAAGGGCTCCCGTGGCTTTTTTTTTTTTTTTGTTGGGGGGGGGGAGTGGGAGGCATATGACAAGTGGTCTGGCAATATTTTACATTGCTTTTTCTTCTGCTGCAGTTTACCTGGAACATGATTTTTGTTTGGTTGTTTTTTTTTTTTCCCCAAGCAATCACGACAAATCCATGTGTTCCACTACAGGCATTTAAGAAAGTCTGTCATTCAGTGAATGAGAAAACACTCTTTAAACTCCTGACCTGCCCTACAAAATGATATCATCACAGGAAAATCCTAAAACTTATTCTCCATCCAATTTATTTTTTCTTTTTCTACAAGCCTGCTACTTGTTCCGCACTCCTTGGATATATCTATTGCTTTATTTTTCAAGTCCTTCATGCAAGAAATGCATTACTTGTTATTCATTCTATCTTTCAGTGTACTACCCTTGGTCTGGTCTGGTGCAGAGGATCTGATCTCCTTTTCTGAAGGAGTTGATTGTTCAAGCCCCCAGCTGAAACAGCACTCTCCTCCTTTGCTGCTTCTCTGTGTCTCTTGACACCAGACCTCTCTAGCTCCCTTCTCTCAAGTTACCCTCTGAGATTCTTCTCCAAAGGACTGGGAAAAAGTGTAATCTACCCTCTAGGAGACTTTGGGATTGTACCATGGCCTCCTAGCCTTGTTTGTAGATGTGCAAGCTTCAGCCCTGACCATCTGAGATGCTGTTGCAAGTAGAATCATAGAATGGCCTAAGCTGGAAGGGACCTTAGAGGTCATTTTAATCCAGCCTCCCTGCCGCCAGGGACGCCACCTCTCAACTAGATCAGGCAACACGTGGGGACTGAACAGGAATCGAACCTGTGACCTTAGCATTCTTAGCGCCACACTCAACTGACTGAGCTAACCCAGGTAACACACCTAGCAGTTACTCTCAGCCTCTCATCCTGTCCTCCCCCAGCACAGTGTGTGAACTGCTTGTTCTTTGTAGATTGAAATGAGAACCTTGACTTCCCTTCACCACACCAGCCACCAGCCTTGCCCCTTCGCCAAGAAGGGAGGCTGAGGCAGTTGGGATGGTCAGCCCTCCCACTTGCAAGTTCCTTCTTGATGGCGGCTGAATGTCTCTTTTCAGCCAAATCCAGAGGGGTGAAGGAGGCAGAGACCAGGAGAGGAGGAGCAGAGCCAGTTCCCAGCCAAGCGCAGCAGCAGCAGGGAAGAGTGACTGCTGAGTGTGAAGCAAGCTAATGCCTGAAGCCTGTAGGGCTAAATCATGCACGCAATAAAGTTTCATTTCACATCCCTATGTGGTTGCAAGACTAACCACTGTCTTGGCTCCAGCCACTCAATATGGGGTCCACACTTGTAACACTTAATGCCCTCCAGAGATTAAAACAGCTGAGTTCAGGAAATGTTGGGCTCTAGTGTTTTTACTCCTTCCTCTTTAAAAACAGAAGAGTGAAAATGGCAACAAAAATTGAACAAGGACCTGTTCTTTGAGCTGTGAAGCTGTGTTCTATACCCAAATGGCTACCCTCTCCACAACAACCTTAGTACTGGACTTCTGTGGTATGTCCAGGAGTCCAAATAACTGACTGCAGCATGGAAGGTTACTGGGCATATGGCCACTCAAGAATAATAACTACATTTTTAGTTCTTATAGCTCTTCAGTGAGGAAGATCATACAGATCTTCTCTGCCTTCCTCTCAGCCAATTTCATATTACTTGTACAATCTTAATATCTTTGAGACCATTACCTCCTTAAAATCACTCCACAGTGTGATCATGTAGGCTTTAGTTTCTTTAGAATACCAGGTTATGAATTACAGGTGACATTTGGTTTCAGGATTACGTTTTTGACCCATGGTACTGATTGCTCTGCTGACTAGCATCTAGGAGTCTAATGAACTTTGGAGGAGTTTTCTTTGAAGTCCTGGTTCTGTGGTCTTCTGCGCAAAAGAAGCATGGGTCTGGGTGTTGGAAGGGTGGGTATTTCCCTGGTGAAGACAGGCAAGGGATTGGAGTTCCCATGTGGACTTGGGTCCTGCTCTGTCATTATTTATATTTCTGACTGTTTGCAACCAGGAAGCAGAGGAAATCCCATATGAATGTCTTAGAGGCTTTCCAGACAAGTTTTGCAGGCCTGGTAAGACCAAATAGTTTAGGCTAGGATTTTCTTGCTGCTTTTTAAAATTGATCCATGGTCTTTGCTACTAATCCAAACAGAATTTCAGCTTTGGACTGTTAGTGTCTTTCATCATTGCTAGTAATAATCATTACATTACATAACTACATTATTTAAATGCCATGATTTCTCAAGGCAGATTTAAATACTGCTCGTCAACATGAACCTGCTCTTTTTATCTCTTGTTATATTGTATTTTTCACATTTTTGTTCTGAAACTTCTGATAGATCAACGTGAAAGTTTGTGACATCTGAGAGCTATCCACAGGATAGCTATACACTCAAAAAGATTTTTATTTTTTTTTATTGCCACCTTTCCCTTCCTGCTGTGCTTATAATTCAAAAGTAGTATAGAAACCTCAATGACACTCATGAAATTGGTGTCGAGTTAATGTGTTTTGGATTAAGACTACATAAACATGTTCAAAACCACCTTGAAAAGGCCTGTAGTCAGTGGAGCTCCCTCAGACCAAAATTAGTTTCAGAAGAGAGCTAGGGCTGTTTTTGCCAAAACATAAGGGAGTTAAGTGGGATTAGCGTTTCCCAACTACATGAATAACTTCTGGGACCTAATAGCATGAACAGGAATGGCAGAAACGTCATGCAGTATAGTTTCCTCCCACAAGCTTTTCTGTGATTGGTGGATGAGCGTCTTGAATACCCAGACCTACGGATCAAGCAGTCACCCTTGACTTTTGGCATTATCTTTAGAGTTGGCTCTGTGGGAAATCAACTTTTCTGTTTATAAAGCCACAAGCAGGGGGCTAGTTTGCCAGCTTGCACTAACTGCACAACTGCTGAGATCAATCACCTCTTCAGAGGAGTCCGCTCTCTAAATCCAGCTTCACTCATCTCTGACTGCGTAGTGTTAGGTTTGAGCTGACCCATCCCAAAGAGAAGGCTTGTTTTCAACTTGGTTTAAAACCCTCATTCGTTGCTGGCTACTTCTTTATCTGAAGGTCAATATCAGCTTTCTGGCTATGAGTGATATAAACAAAAGTACCGAAGAGATACCAGAAATGCTACTTATCAACTCCTGCTAGACTAGAACTAAAAGCAAAGAAAACACCACGAGAGAAGCAACATATAGTTCCAAAATATAATGCTTCTGTCTGGCTCACTGCATATTCTTCAGAAAATAAGTTAATTTTTCTCTTTTTATGTGTCTCTGTATAAATAATAAAAGCACTTGTTTATTCCCACTAGCAAAGTTATAAAGACCTGTAGCTGAATGTAAAGGAGTTTTAATTACAGCTATTCTATTAAAAGGCAAAAGAAATAAAGTAGCTTTTACAAATCACCAATCTTTCTTCTTTACAGTATATTACGGGCTGAATAATGTTTAAATTGCAATGTGTAAGAAGTTGAGTATTAGATTTTCTTCTCATATCAACAGATAATATTTAAAAATAACTTCAAATGTCTTATGGATGAAGTTGCAAGGAAAGAAAATAAAGGAATGACAGGACAAGAAAAATGACAGAATCAAAATCAGTAGTCTCTCACCTCTTATTTCAGTAGCTGCTGTGCCATTTGACCATGCTGTCCACTTATTCCTGTGCTTGCCAATTTCCTGGACTTTGCATATATAATGCCCTTGATCTGTTTGCTGGAGGCTTAAAATAAGAAATTTGTACATAGTTCCATGTTTCTCTTTAAGAAGATGAAGTCTTTGCTTGTGAAAATTATGAGTATAATTTCCATAATACTGGACAGACCCAAACTTTGTCATTTTGATCATCAGGTACTCCTGGGTAGGTGATGCAGCAAAGACCCACCGCACAGCCAGCAAATTGTCTGTCTTTCTCTTTTGAGAAATGTGGCAGTAAAGGGTAGCATTATCTCCCTCCGAATATCGCACTGTTGGTCCTGGTGAGACTGTCACATTTAAAGCCTCGCAAACATCTGCAAAGGAAAGAAAGGATGGTGAGAGACCTCCATACCTGCACAACAGCACCATACTTAAAACACCACCGTACATCAAACAGTCCCAGCATGCAAGTCCACAGCAGGTAAATTTATGGCATTTGTTCAGTGTGCAGCAACTTAGCTTTTAGAACCTGACATCTTCTGTCTCGATAAATGTTAAAGATAGTATGAGGCCTTTCCTTCAGTGAATCTGCTTTAGCGTTCTTCCTCATTAATAAGATAGGTCTGAGGTGGACACCTTGCTACTGTCACAGGCCCAACATCACGTAATCCTGCATTGTTCTGAACAGGCATTGATCTAAATCCAGTTTGGAGCAAGAGCCGAAAATGGCTTTTGGAAAACTGTTTTGTAAACAGCTCTTCTGAGGATGTGCATCCTTCTTAGAATATCCAGGCTAAATTGTTTCAATAGCCAGTTTATGCCCATTTGTTCCTGTTGCAAACTTCAAGTTTTCTTCTCTAGCACTTCCTGACTCCATATAGAAAGCAATTTGCTGTGCCTCAGCCTTGGCTTTGTTCAGCTGAAGAAGCCAAGCTCTGCTAATGTCCTCTAGTAAAATATTGTCTCCACTTCCCTAGTCACCTTATTAGCCCTTCTCTGCATTGGTTTCAGTTTAAATTTTGGGCTTGATGGTAATTATTTTATTTTTTTAATGTGGGTGGCCGGAATTACAGTGTCTGGAGAGCAGCTCTCAAATGTCCTGTGAAATAGTCATTGTGCTTCCCATATTTGACTGGAATATACCTTGCCTAGAATTACGTAGTCCTTTTCAGTGATATTTTCACATGTGATTATGTGTCAGTTTATAATTAAATACTACCCTTGCACATTTTCCCTTCTTTGTCATCTGTGGTTCAGTTCCTAGTGTAACAAAGAAATTCTTATTAATCACTAAGTACATGACTTTGCTTTACTAAATTCTGCTCTACTTTTGTTACTTGGTCCTCATTTTTTCCTACATACTCTCCCAATCTTGTGAAACTTGATAAAGTGACATCATTTCAATGTGTGTGCTTCTGTCTACATCTTTCTAAGCATCAGTTGTGCAAACCTTACATGATACCATTACCTAGATGATCACTGAAAGGCTCCCTAGATGCCCATAACCAGCTCCTCAGTTTACAGTTCCCCATGGCTTCTGTTTTAAGTTATATTCTCCTTGTCATAATCAAATGGTCATGTCAAGTGTGGGTTAAATTTGTCAGATTAATCCTTCTGAGTACAAATTCGGTTTAATCTGACATTATTTGCATGACAAAATATGACAGGAGATTATATTGGGACAACTGATTATTCCATTGTTCCATTTGTTTCTGACTCTTATCATGGCCAGCTGTTTGTCTCTCTGCTTTATTTCTAACCATAGCCATTATAGGTGAAGGGTGAAAGAAGTTCATAGATGTTCATTAAGTCAGGAAAGAAAAATCTTCCTCTAACTGATTTATGCTGGAATGATTTTCTGAGGCATGGGAATCAGCACTCTTTTTATTTCCTTCCTAATGTATATTAAGAATGTTCTTATTAGTTATACTAGAGACTGATCTATTTTTGACCAAATGTATATTGTGACAATGTGTTCCCTAAATGACTTGTAAAGGGTAATCTACCAGTCTGATGGCATCCACTAGAAAGAGAACCATATTTCAACAGTGAGCAAGCACTCCCTGATATGCACTCTGCAAAGCATGAACTGTCCTCTAAAATGTGAATATTAAGCTTCCTGTTATGAGAATATACTATGTTCAAACACTAATGAGAATTGCAACTCTGGGAGAATGTGGTTTTTTTCATTTCTGGACACTTTTCTAGCACATTGGTTAGGAACTTTTTAACAAAAGGGATGAGCGTTTTGGCAGAGATTGTTGTCTGACATCAGCTCCTGAAACACAAACATATATTTACCTTCAAAATAAGCAAGTAAAGTATTGCCATTCTATTTCTGAAAGAATACTGGCAGCAGAGACACTGGTTTTACATCCCCAGAGAAACCATGAAATGGAATGGTGAATCATATCACCTTAATTAAAGAAAATCCACTAAATTAAGGAAGTTACATTGCAGCTGTTTGACAAGAACCCTTTGACAGTTAGTAGTATGATAATAATTTGGGGTCTTTTCAATATAAAGCTCTGTTGAATGGCATTTTTTTCCCCAGGTAGACATTATTTTATTTTTATGAAGAAGAAAATAAGTTGTATAAAGAAACTATAGCTAAGCAGGACCTAGATTACTGATGTAATTAACTGTGCCTGATGTTTGCATGTGCAACTCATGTTAAATGCCAAAGCAAGAGATAATTTTGCATTGTAGAAAGCATACAAGTAGAACAGGATGTTGAGATTTAAAGTTAAGGCTGAATACCACCAAAAGCTTTCCAGGCATGAAACTTCAGTTATTACTTGCTGGGAATTATCTGAGCTTGGTGCTTTATAGACAGCTGTGAAGATGAGATGGCTGCCTTGGCCCTCAAAATAAGATTAAATTTTTGAAGATTGTGCAATAAGTTTTAAGAATTTCAGCACTTTCTGTGGTTCTCATAATTACTTAGCTTATAAATGTTTAATAAATCATCTATAAAATGTGGTTTGCATAAATGAAGAACACAACCTTTTTCTACTGGAAGTTTGAACATGTCATGAAAACTGTAAAGAAAAACAATTATGTCATTTTCCTGACATGTGAACTTCTTGTTTGAAAAAGCTGGCTAGGATTAATTGTGGAATAGAGTCCCAAAATAAAAGGCAAAAGAATCATTGCTTAATTCAAAACTAGGCACAACACAGTGCCAAAAAGTACCCAAGAGAAAATACAGAGAAACTCGGCTATGGTGATGATGGAAGCCTCTGCAGAAAGATAAAGAAGCATTGTCCATGGAGTCTCTGATCCCTTTGTAGCTGTTTACATTCATACAATCATTGGTATTTTATACCTAAGACTTCTACTTTTCCTCTGGGGACATGCCTTTTTATAAGGAATATCAAATTTTGCATCCTTTGCGTTGTCTGATCAGTAGAAACCCTTCTCCTTATCCTCCTTCTGTGGTTCCTATCGGTGTGCATGTACAAGTGCAGCAATGGGGAAGAGTTTTGGAAATTTCCTGATGCTTTTACCATGATCTCTCCTGTTGAGCAGGGTCAGGTGATGTTTCACAAAAAAAGAGAAAAACTGTGATCATCTGACTCTATCCTCTCACTGCCATCAGTGCAGGAACAGTGGTGGATTTTGGAGGAAAGATGTCATCTACCTTTTCTGTGAAAAGGAAAAGTCTCATTCAGGAGTCCCAGACACACGAGTGGCATATGTTCCTCCTGTCTTTAGCAGGGACTGGATCAGCCCCAACATGAGGTTTACCCTTGTAATGTGCTCCTTGCCAGGACAGGAGACTCCTCCACAACTGGAGAGCAGGCTTTCGTGCCAACAGAGAACTGAATGAGGAATCACTGGTTTTCTTCTCCTGCCTTCCTTTTTAGAGAGTGATGTAGCTGTTCAAGTGGAGCTCAACACAAGAGTTTTAGTCTTGCTTCTGCTTGGAAAGGGAAATTATTTATAGTAAAGAGGAGGAGAGCGAGTCAAATACTTGAGGATTCCTTTGCAGTATGCTTAATCATCAAACACGTATCTCCTATTTGCAGCCAGCTCACTTAGTTGTCCCTACCCCAATGTTTTGGCTATTTGCTTCTTTGGTACCCTCCACCTGCATGTCTCACTTGTCTGGTGAGAGTCAGGGAAAGTTACTGCTGACTAAACTCTGTTTTGAGAAATCCTGTTTTGAAAATAGTCCACTTCTGCTTACACCAGTACAGTTCCAAGTATTAGCTAGGTTTGGACCTTATTGTCTGCTGTATTACATTGCAAAACATTCTCATGGCGCTGTCAGGAGTAATAAGTTATACTTTTAGCAGCCAGAAACCTGTCTATGCCAGGACTGTCCCCTCTGTCTTTGTGGGGACAGTAGCAAAGGATCCACAGTCACTGCTGGGTCCTTATGTTTGGTAAACAGTTTCAGGGTGATGGTGTTTGGTGGAAGAACCCAGGCTACTGCACTGGAGATATTCACTAGTTGCTCCAGTGCACTACTGCTCATAGATGGGTCCCCCTTCATTCTTCAACTGACACTGTCAGGCAAAATCTACAACTTACTCTTCAGGGCTGAGAGAACTTTTTTCCTCAGTCCCTGCTGATAGCTAAAGGACTAGAGAGACATGCCATCGGGGTCATTACTTTCTGATCTGGGATTTGCATGGCCAGAAGCATATGGGATAGATTTTATCTGTGTTGTAGTTTGTTCTATAAGCCAATGTTACTGTCAAGGCCTGCTTTACTTTGACTTCTCTGCAATTAAAAAGTAAGAAGAGCAGATGAGCCTGGAATAAGCAGAACTCTTTGTTTAAATGAAAATAATCAGGAGCTGGCTAGCAAGATCACCAAAAGCAACCAGCTGTTTTCAGATGAATGGATCTGTCTGCAAGTTTCACAAGTCAGAGGCTCATTCTTGGAGAAAGCTTCTGCACTGACTAAAGCTGGGCTTGAACTAAATCTCTGCCTCCAGCATCTCCTGCCCTTTTGACGTGAAGATTCAAATTCAGCTCTTTTATTAACCTTGAATGAGCAGGGCTTCCCCACTCCCCTAACCCTCACTGCACCGTAAAGTTCGGATCTGAACCCTGTGTCCTTTTGGCAGTAAACGGAGCCAATGCACCTTTGATTTTGGAGACATAAGGGTCATGAACGGAGGAGGTTTTCTTTACAAGTGACCTACAGATGCCGTTTCCACTGGATGCCTACGATCTAGGCATCTGTGGGGAAAAAACCAACAATGCCAAACCCCGCTTTGCCTGCCGTTCGGCGGTGCGGCTCGACAGTCCCGCCTGGCCCAGGAGGCGGCGGAGGACATGTTTCCACAAACTTGTGCATGAGAGGGGTATTCTTCTTTTCTTTCTGTCTTTCTTTCTTTCTTTCTT